GGCACGCCCCCCCCCCCCCGGCATACCGGCCGCCCGTCCATGGAAAGTTTAATTTCAATACCACTGACTTTCTGCAAATAGGGGTGGGCAGGAAAATTGGCTTGGTCCAGGCAGCTTTGGAAGTTCTGATCTCCCCCCTGCTACGTTGACCTCCTTTGACTTCAAGAGCGTTCCTCCTTATTTACTCCAGGGTGAGAGGAGAATCAGGCTTATTGGTTGCAGTTCATAAAGGTGTGGGGGGTGCTATTTATAATTAGCTGTCCGGGGTCAGGAAACATTAGGCACTGACCAGCTCATTGTGCAAGCCCCTGGTTAGCTCCATGCTACTGCTCTTCCTTTCCCCATAGTCTTACCCTTCTCGCATCTCTCTAGGAATCTTGGAGTTTTTCCATCACCAGCTGAAGGACATCATTGAGTACGCAGAGCTGAAGACAGATGTGTTCCAGAGCCTTCGAGAAGTGGGCAATGCCATTCTCTTCTGCCTCCTCATAGAGCAGGCCCTGGTAAGGCCAAGACACCTGCATTAGCTGGCTACATGCTATGCTTCCCTTGGACTTACTGCCTCCCTGGGGCCGGGTTGGTTTTGTGCACACACAGGTAACGGCCACAGGTTGGATTTGAAGCTGGGTCCTCTGGAGCTCAGAGTAGGAGCCTCTACATACAGCTTGAGCTACAAAGCCAGCTTAGGCTACAGAGTGCCCTTGTTCTTATCTCTCCTGTAAGTGGGCTAAGTGCCACGGCATGAGGCAGCAACATGCACACATCCTCTACAGGGCTCTGAGACTGGCTTTGTGGCACGGACAGCCAGGGCAGCCTGCGAGAAAAGCATGGGCAGATATTTAAGTCGGCAATGGCTCCGAAGTGGAGCCCAAGAACTGGATTCCGGAAGGTTTTGTTTTAGACCCAAAGCTACCGGGGGTGGGTCGGATTTTAAGTCAGACTCAGAATCAGGAGGTGCCTGTTTCCAGGAGTCACTTCTAGGGACCATCGCTGAGCCCCAAAGGGCACTGATCCCTGACTTGCTCCCTGCAATATAAATCGATAATAATAACAAAGCAGGCGCAGGCCGTGGGACTCTCGTGGGAACTGCTGCTCTGGTTATTTCCTGGGGCTTGTCTCCATGGCAAAGCTAACTTGAATTACGGCATTTCCCTGACTCATGCTCCACCCACCGACAAACCCCCTTATCTCGAGGGCAGCGCCGCCTTTAGCTGGAGTGGGCTGGCCTGGCGGGTGTGTAGCCCCAGCTCTGCTCCCTGAGCTGCTAACACAGCCCCTCAGTGCGGCTTGACTTGTGCAAGAGACGTTAACTCCACGGTAGCGCACTCCTGCTCAAGGGAGACGCGCTCTTTGTGAGTCAAGGCCTGTGGACAGAGATGGGGCGGAGGGCGGGCACATGAGCTGCTGTGCTGGTTTGGAGGCACGGTGACTGTCAGTCTCTCATCCTGTCCATCCCTGCAGCACGAACGGAAATTCTGTTAAGAAAACTGGAGATACACAAATGTGACCCTTGGTGGTCTGGGTTGATTTTGGTACAGTGATAGCAGCCAAATATCTCCTGCTTGCCTCCTCCTGGGTTCTGCTAGGACGGTCGTCCCTCGTCCCCGCCACAGCTCTCCCCTGGCCGTGCAGCTTTTGCCTTTGAAATGGCTCTGTGCGGTGCACGGGATGGTGTCTCGGAGGAGTAATGCACACTCTTGGGTTGCCATGGAAACTGAGAGTATATCAGCAGCATGCGGTAGGCCAGAAAACAAGATTCGGAGATCCTGTGCGGGGAGGTTACCATCAAAGACCACATTGGTGGGGTTCCCGTAACCGGCCTGTCTCGTTTCTCTGGTTTTTAAATTCTTCAGTAAGGAATTTCAGAACTAGGGGTCACCAGATGAAATTAATAGGTAGCAAATTTAAAACAAACAAAAGGATGTTTTTCTTCACGCAGCACAAAGTCAAACTGTGGAACTCCTTGCCACAGGATGGTGTGAAGGCCAGGACTATAACAGGGTTCAAAAAAGAGCTAGATAGATCTGTCCGTCCTTATTAGCCAGGATGGGTAGGAATGTTTGTCAGTGGCTGGGAATGGGCGACAGGGGAAGGATCACTGGATGATTCCCTGTTCTGTTCTTTCCCTCTGGGGCACCTGGCGTCGGCCACTGTGGGCAGACAGGACACTGGGTTGGATGGACCTTTGGTCTGACCCAGTCTGGCCGTTCTTATGTTAACGCAGTTCTATACTCGCATGGCATCTCTTTCCATCCACCGTGAGAGCATGAGGCTAGAGGGTCCTTCCGAGCTGAACGGCTTTGAAGCTTGGTGGCACGGGAGGTGGATGCGCTAGGTTTTCCTCTTTGGGCATCTGGGGTCTTAATCTGCATCCAGTCCCATGTGCGTGAACTCCTTTGGATGGGCTCAGCCGACTGGGTACGTCTCTATCCAAAGAGCACCAGGCAGCCAAGCGTGATTGACAATCAAATGCTCGAAACAGGCCAGGAGGACTGAAGCTGAAAGGAGGCTTATGGGACATAATGGAGGTGGCCAGGCTCTCTCTTGTGCTTCTAGGGCCTAATCCAGTATCAGCGGAAGTCACGGAGAGACTCCCATGGCCTCGGGAGCCTCAAATATCTGCAGGCATGTGAATTCATAATTTCCTTCTTTGTGGGAGTGCGTGGGAGGAAACGTCCTCCTTTATCAAGTGGCAAAGTCGTTGATTTATTCAGGAGACCCGGCCTCGGTGTTTGATGCAGCCAGGCAAAGGCAATTGTTTTCCAAGGTGCAAGGTGCCGTGCCTTTGCTGAGAGGCTGTTCCAGATAACCTCTTAGGAGACCCGAATTTCCTGTCTGCATCATGCAAGGAACTGTCCGATCAGAGTTAGAGTAGGGAAGAGTTCAGTCACAGTAGACCAGCTTGGACAACATCCCTTACTGCTTTGTAATCTCCCCCATGATGGGACTCCAGTGCAGTGGACGTACTTGCTTTTATTGTTTTATGGTGGCAGTTGAACCATTCGATATGGCAATAGCAGACTTATTCGGGGCCTTCAGGGCAGGCGGCTGGTGGTGTGGAGGGTGCGGGAGTCAGGGCAGGGCCTTAGGGATGGGGGGGCAGAGCATGAGGTTGGGGGCAGGGAGGGTGCAAAAGTGAGGGTTGGAGGGGGAGGAGGGGCTCAGGGCGGGGGGTCCCACCAGACAGGGCTTTCTCTCCACCACCACCCCCAGCTTGCAGGGGCCTTTCTTTCCCCAGCCCCTATGTCTGGCAGGGGCCTTTTGTCTCCCCCCACCTCCCCATCCTCCGTCTGGGGCTGCAGCCAAGGCTGGGAGTCGGGAAAGGGTTTGGGGCACAGGGCTACTTATGTGCTCTACTGGCAGGCAAGATGGCAGAGCCTCAGCCCTGGTGGCCACCCTCTTGCAGCTGCCCGCAGTGACCACTGTGCAAGATAGTCCCCCCCTGCTGGCTCGCTGCCCACAGTGGCCGCTCTGTGTCACATCCCTCCTCTCTGTGCCCCTCCCTTTCTCTGTTATGGAAGAGAGTCCCATTCCCAGCACTTCCCATTGTCCTGGCACAACCAAACCCTGCCCTTGCTTTAAGTTAGAGTGAGAGGAAGCTGCCTGCCGAATGCGGTGGTCCAAGCTCTTCCGGTGTAGGAGGCATTCTTGAACAAAGAGACTCACAGACGGACAGATGCACATTTCTCAGATAGATAGCTAGATCAGACTATTGACTGATGGTGAGGGCTACAGCCAAGGCGGGGATGTAGCTTCCATTCCACATACACACACCATTATTGTTGTTCCTTATCAATAACGTTAAGTCCTGGTGTAAGGCAGGGAGGGTTGGTAGGAGGAAGAGGAAGGGTGTTACTGACATACCTAATTCTTCCTCCGAAGATAAGTGAATACGGGCAGCAGCTGGAGAAGGTAATTTCCCCGGCGGGGCCTGTTTCGGGGTTGAAGTAGCGGGGGCTGAATGTGCACCCGGACGGGAGGATGGTTCTGCTAACATGGCAGCAAGCCCCCGTGCGATGCATCTGTGCCCACTCCAGGCGCGCTCCATGCTACAAGCCGCAGTATCCGTGTAGGACCCGTGATTCCATCCGCTTCCGTTCACCTCCCTGAGCCACTCCCTCCATGGTCACAGCTCTGTTCTGGTGAACTCTCTGCGGTCTGGCCAGAACTCGATGCATCTCCTAACCAGAGTGGCCCAGCAACAGACCAAACCCTGCTGGGGAGGCAACACCTCTGAGTGTGCAACCCCCCATCGCTTTGTTGTGCTTTGAGTGACTGTGCCCATGGGTGGGCCACATGAGGTGCCCGTGTGCCTTTGAGCAGAGATTTTCTCCCAGCAGTGTCCGTGGGTCCTCCCCTGCACCCTGTGCATCCTCGTGCTCCACACAAAGGTACGTAGCGAAGGGACGGGCAGACCCACCACGACTAGTTCTTGCCCAACTTTCTGCGGCAAGACCCTGAGCGTTGTGCTGTCTGGTAGATGAACTTCTAGCTCTCTCTTACCTCTTTGGGTTCACTTCATGTACCTCTGTTTCTATGTTTATTTTCGTATTCTTGGGGGGGTTCTCCCTCTGGCGCACATTTGTGCTTTCGGCACCTCTCACCACCGTTCTTTGTTGACCCCAGCTAGGTCTTTGCCTGCAAGTCTTGCCCAAGGCCCGGGCCTTCAAACCCGGCCAGGACTGCCACGGGTCTTTCCCTTTCAGAGACAGGCAAGCCAGCTGCCTCTGCTGTCTTGGGGGGCCCCTGCATCCTGCCAAGAACACGGCCTCCACAAGAGTAGTGCCAGGCAGCTGGAGGACAGATGTAATGTGCTGCTTATGGGGTGCTCCCAAGACCTGCAGGTTCGCTTCCCCCATCCGCACTGGCGTCAGCCAGGTACTCCGGCAGCATCTTTGGTCTTCGCTCGTCACCACGGAAGCCCAGGAAGCTTCTGAGGGTTCCAGACTTGAGGGTTCTGAGGGTTCCAGCTTCTGAGGTCTCCAGAAGAGACCCCCCCCCCACCGTCGGCTCCCAGAGAAATCACCCCAGACACCAGAGTCCTCTCCAGATACCACTGAGGATCCTGCTTCCAGCACAAGGGTCTGGTCATGGGCGGCGGGTGGAGCCCCCCTTCAGGGAGGTTAAGCCCCGCTCCGCCTCTTCTCTCCCCGCCCCCACCGCCACAGCCAAAGGCTCAACCCCTCCCCCCACTCACCCATCTAGAGCAGTGTTTCTCAACCCGTGGTACGAGAACCCGTAGGGGTACTCGAGAGACATCTCAGGGGTACATCAACACAACTGAAATGTGGAGAAAACTGAATTTTTGTTGTAAGTTTGACAGCGCTTCTTTAGTTCTGTACTATTACACCCAAAAATTTCATCACCCACCCGGCAACGATTAAACCAAGTCAGTCACATAAAGCAAGGCCCACGTGTCACAAGAAGGAGTCATCTACTACCACCCAGTAGACAACCTAGGTTGCTTTGACCCTTTGGTTGAGGACCACGAACTTTCCCTCTGTTGGGATCTTACGCTGCACCAACCTGTTCCCCACTCACCCTGTAGCGATTGCCTCTCCTGTGTCGCACGTTCCTGGGAGCTCAGCACATCGGACGGATGGATTCTGGACGTGATTTCATCAGGCTGTCGTCCCTTTCAAGTCCTCCTCCCCTTTCCTGTCCTTTCTCAGGGATACTTTTCGCAAGGGTCTCTTGGAGCAGGAAGTACATTCCTTACTCCTACTAAGAGAGGGCTCAGTTGCAGCTCCCTGGGAGGTGCTTTCCTCAAGTCCTGTGATGTGCCTGTCCCTCAGCAACTTTGCGCCTCAGAGTTTCGAACAAGCAGAAACAGGAGAAATCAGGGATTATCCTGATAGCCCCGAGGCAAGTGTGGTTCCTCTGACTCTGAGGTCAACTCTTCCCTTTGGTCACAGACCTCCTGGCCCGGGAGTCAGGCTGTGCAACCCACTCTAGTCTCCCTTGTTCTGTCTCAAGGCTCCTCAAGGGCTCGCAAGCTTGGAGCAGGATTGTCTTCGTGAGGTGCAGGCGGCAGTGCGGACCAGCCGGAAGCCACAGCAAAAGCCGTCGTGTGAGAGTGGAAGTGTTTCCAGCTCAGTGGTCACCCTCTCGGAGGCTGTTCTCCCTGTCTGTCTTGACTACCAGTTGCATATAAAAACCCGAGGCTTATCGTTCGGCTGGATGAAAGCCCACCTCGCTGCCATGAGAGCCTTTCGCCGCCCAAGCCAAGGGCTTTCCGCGTGTGCGCCCTCTGCAAGATTCCTGAAGGAATTGGGCTGTGTCTTCCCTCACGGAAGTCAGCTCGCTCCCCCGGGGAGGTTAATTAATTCTCTCTGCCTTGAGAAGGCCCTGCTTTGAATGCTGGTGGAGTCCCCTTCTTCACGCACCCTACCAACCCACCTATCTCATAGCTATGTCCCCAGATCAGAGCCGTTCGGAGAGTGACCTCACCAAAGGCTGCTTCTGAACTGGTCTCCTCAGGACCTTCTTTCATAATTGGCACATTCCCTGGAAGTTCCCTAATGTGGAGCGCCCATAAGGACAATAAACCACAGCAGGAGAGGTTACTTACCTTGTGCAGTGACTGGAGTCCTTGGAGGGGCTTTCTCCTTATGGACGCTCCACTCCCCACTCTCCTTTCCCCTCTGCTTCGGAGTTCTTGCCTTTGGACTTGCTGTTGAGAAGGAAGTGGCGTGGTGGCAGATCCACTTCTCCCTATATAACTTCACTACAGAGCATGAGGATGTGTAGGGTGCTGATACAAACCCATGGACACCGCTGAGGAAAAATATTCAATCAAAGGCATGCGAGGTTCCATAGGGACAAAACATCTCAGAGGGTAAGTAACCTCTCCTTTTCCCTTGCTGCCGTCTCCCATTGCAAACCTCTATACAATGTGTTGTTGGCCATCCTGCTTTCAGTGTGACTATTTCCTGGTTTCTCACTCTTGTGTGTCTGTGTTTTGGATTCATTTCACCCAAGTGTGCAAGCGTGTGTTTCCCAAGTGATATCGCATGTTGTTGTTCCTTTCTAGCCCTCTTTGTATGACTTCTCTAATCTGCCCTGCCTTTGGTCTGATAGTACTGGCTATAAATGCATACCCAAATGAATTAATTCAAATAAACATACTGCTGATTGAACTTCTCTAGTCTGGCACCCTCGGGATCTGACCGGTTCCGAATGAGAGAATTTTCTGGACCACGGGAGGTCAATATTAGCAGTATTACCAACACTCCCATTCCTTACGGGGCTGTTAGAGGACATTTAGAGGTAATTTAGAGCTAAATAACAGCACAGAACACTGAGAGCCAGGACTGGAAACTGTAAGCAAACTACGTGACTGCAGGAAACTTGGCCACGCCCATGCGGAGTGGACACCTGGCTCACTAACATCATTCCGGATGACGGATGTTTCTGGAACAGAGAGTGCCAGACTAGAAAGGTTCAACCTATATGTATGGTTCAGTAACCGCACTCAGCAGTCATATATGTACGTACATACACACCTGGCAGCAATTAAGCCAACAAGTTCTTCCTTTAGAGCCGGGGTTGGGAACCTCTTTTGGGTCGGGGGCCGCTGACCCACAGAAACATCAGGCCGGGGCCACACACAAGTGAGAAGCAAAAGAAAAAAACAAACCCTCTCTGATGTGGCCCCCAACTGAGGAGAAAGACACTCTCCCCATCCCCTCACATACCAAGAACCTTGGGAGGGCCAAGCTAGTAGATTTTCTGTGCTCCAGCCCCATGAGGGAATGATGGGGGAGCTGGAGCACCAGTGGGCTCCCCTATGCTGAGGGGGAGCCCCGAGCTTCAGGAGCCAGATCCAGGCAAGCTGGGGGTCGCATCCAGCCCCCAGGCCTTAGTTTCCCCACCCCTGCTTTAGAGAGAATGACTTGAGAGCGCTAGAAAATAAATGATAGGAAATTACCAAGTTAGAATGAAACAAAAATCATTTCCTTCATGTGCTTCTACACACCGAGGCAGCGTTTGTTCCATCAAACTTTCTGGGCTTGTAGAGACAGGAAGTTCTGTGATAGACTTCTATAGACCTTTCTGGTTTAGGTTTAACGGGCTTTGGGCAGAGACTTTTCTTTCCAGTTTCACTTCATAGGGGTTCAGACTTCTTGCATTACTCCTGGGCTGGATATGAATGCGCACCCTAGAGCCATAGACTAAGACCCTAAAGGAATTTTTTTTTAACTTATTTTATTTTTCTTCCTCCTGCCTCAGTCCCAGGAAGAAGTTTGTGATTTGCTGCATGCTGCTCCCTTCCAAAATATTTTGCCCAGGGTCTACATCAAAGGTAAGACATCAAGAGGGAAGCAGAGATCAATGTTTATCCCCCTACTTAAACTCCCCCCGTTAATGTTACACATTGATTTCTTACAACGCCCTTGACTAGACCTGGCGATGCATTGGGAAGTCAGGTGGAGTGGTTATAGTCTAGTTACCCAGGTGGAAGCACTAGTTAGCCATTCCGTTTCAGAGCAGACGATGGTGGGGAGGCAGCTCGGCGCGACTGCGGAAATGCCGACTTACTGCCTGGTCTCATGTCACTCTTTGCTGCTCGCTTGACAGAAGGAGAACGCTTGGAGGTGCGCATGAAGCGTCTCGAAGCCAAATATGCCCCACTTCACCTGGTTCCCTTAATAGAGAGGCTGGGAACTGCTCAGGTAAGGATCCCTTTGCAACCCCCAGGAGATGGCTACTGAAAATTACCAGCATCCCCTGGTTATTTGGCCTTAGGAAACGGCTCCAGTTTGTATTCTGAAATGCTGCACGGCTCCCCCTTCCTGGCAGACGAGGGATTTCTCTGGGCAGGGGCTTGACTGAATGACTTGAGCCCATTGGCTTCCCCACCCTTCTCGGGGAAGGCATCACTCGCGCCGGAGTGATGGCCTTCTTCCTCCGATCAGACAAACCTGAGCCCTAGCACCTGATGGGGTCTGCCAGGGAGTGTTAGGAGCTTGCGTGAAGCTGGCGTGTTCGTGTGTCCAGCGTGCTGACCCAGCTGCAGTAGGGCTGGTGGGGTGAATGCTCCCAAGCCAGCTCTGAACAGTAACAACCTTGAAAACTGCTAGAGGTGTTTTCACAGGAGGGGGGAATGTGTGGGGCTTGTTTCTGGCCTGGGGAATTACATCAGGTCTTTAAGCCCCCAGTTCAGGACAGCAGTTATATACACACACACACTGAAGTCCAGCCATATTCAGGAACTCATATAAGGACTTGTTTATCTTGAAGCATGTGCTCAGGGATTAAGCATGTGCTTAAAGTTAAGCATATCTCTCAGTGTTTTCTTGCATAGGGAGGCTTTCTGACTCAGGGTCTAAATGGAAGGATCTCTCTCTTATGCTGAAGTTATGACACCATTTGTAAATCTCTCACTAAAATAAACCACCATCCTGCCCGAAATCCTCCACTGAAGTCAATGGCCAAACCCCCAGCGATTTCCGGAGAGCCAGGATTTCACTCCGTCACTAACAAACAGGCTGCTTTCTGTTAGCTAATGCAATCAGAAGTATTCGAGATGCTGAATTAGATTAACTTCCCCGCACAGTCATTTTCTGTCGCTGGAATGAACATTGCATCCAGTAATAAAAAGTGACGGCTTTGTGACGGGACCAGGGAATCCACGTCCCTGTTAAGGGATCGTGTTTATAATTCAAGGTCATATGGAACATGGCGTCTCTGGGAAGAATCTGAAACAAACGCCTGGAAAGTGTAGTAGAGGGTTCTGTGCTGATTCATAGGCATTTCTCATCTCCCGCATAGTTCCCTTTGTAAAGGGGCATTGTTAAGATAAAAGTCACCACTGTGCTTTTATGTGTGTGTGTCTCTCCTTCCTTGCAAAATCATCCTTAAATTCTACTCCATAAGATCCACATGCTACTTCTTCTCACCATACTGATAATGATAAAATGAAAGGTTTCTCTGCATTCCCATACACACACACACACTAAATGTACTCATGCGAATGTGCTACCAAGTCCTTCACGTACATACTTTTGGGAACCAAAGTTATGGAGAACTCAGAAACTCGATGGAAATAAACACAACTGTGTTTGTTGATAGCATCCCCCGCTGCTATTAGTTGCTCCTGGAAATGCAGTTTCGAACACAAACGTCAGTGTTTTGGTATACAGAAGACACGGGCACCTGATAGCAGGGGTGTGGAAATTTACAAGCACATTTCAGCTGTGGGGGTTTGGGTGCCATTAATGAAAATGTGGCCCTGTGCTGTTTACGTAATAAATGCAGCAGTTGAAGGGCCTCATCCGATGCCTGCTGAAGTCAGAGAGTCGTCCCATGGCTTTGCCCCAGGCTGCGGAGGGTTCATGCACTAAAAAGGAGTTACGCGTAGATTGTGTTTACATAATGACAAGCAAACGGGCCGTGATCAGGGCATAAAGAATCATTTGTAGGTGAGATGAGTGCAGACTCATAGGGACATGGGCGCTTGGGGGAGTCAAGCTCCCAGCCCCACCCCCCACAGGAGCCAAGCTGCCTCCCCACCGCCACCATGGGGAGTGGGGGAGGGCAGGTAGACACGCATGTCTTCCGCCTCCCCGGCCCCAGAACACAGGAAGTGAGGGCAGCACCAGCCTCCCCTGCCCTAGAGCGTGAGGAGGGCGGGCGCTGCAGGGAGTAACACTGTGCCCTCCAGAACACCTAGGCTGTGTCTAGACTGGCAAGTTTTTCTGCAAAATCATCTGCTTTTGCGGAAAACCTTGCCAGCTGTCTACACTGGCCGCTTGAATTTCCGCAAGAACACTGACGCTCTCATGTAAGATTGTCAGTGTTCTTGTGGAAATACTGTGCTGCTCCCGTTTGGCAAAAGCCCTCTTGCACAAATCATTAGCCAGTGTAGACAGCATAGTACTGTTTTCCGCAAAAAAGCCCCAATCGCGAAAATGGCCATCGGGGCTTTTTTTGCGGAAAAGCGCGTCTAGATTGGCACGGACGCTTTTCCGCAAAAAGTGCTTTTGCCGAAAAGTGTCCGTGCCAATCTAGACGCGCTTTTCCAAAAATGCTTTTAACGGAAAACTTTTCTGTTAAAAGCATTTCCGGAAAATCATGCCAGTGTAGACGTAGCCCTATAGTAGGTGTTCTGGGGGTGGAGTGTGGGTGGGGCCGGACTGGCAGTTTGGGACAGCAAAGCCTTCCCCTGCCAGCGTACCCGCCCATGCAGAGGGACTAGAATGGCTCATTGAGCAACCCCCCTGCCAGAATCCCGAATCCCAGTTAGCATGGGATTTTCAGCCACGCAGTGAGAGCCGAGCCACCCCTCTGCCCTGCGGTCAGGGCTCGGAGCCAGGCCTGGGCTCTCCTGCAATCCCCCCTTAGTCACTGCAGCCCACGAGTCGTGTCCTGCTGCTGCCCACGATAACGTTAGTCACGAGAGTTCAGTGTCTGGGACATGACCCCGGCATGTCTGACGGGACTGCAGCCACCTAGCTCTGGCTCTGGCATCCGAGTCCTGCCTTCCAGCTGCGGTGAGCCTGCTGGGCAGCCAGGAGGCAGCAGTAGGCTTATATCAAGGCCTTCTCTTAGGAACAAAATCGGCCCTGGACTGCCTGCTTGTGGATTCTGCTCAGCCCAGAACTGGTCCCTCTACAGTTTCTTACACAATCCCTGTCTCAGTGTCACTGGACGAGTTCATTCCAGGCAGTCTGACCACACTGCACCCAGCGCGCATCCCGTCTGGATCTCACAAACTATCATACTCCAGTCCCTCGGCTTGCTGAGCAGACCCCAAAGTCATGTTGCTTTCTGGGCCTGCTGGCCCACGTGCCTGCAGAGTTAATGGGCGCATGGCTGCGGGCCCGCTCAATATTTTTGCCTTGGAATTCTAGCAGCGCTGCTGTGCTACAGGCAGGCCGCAGTGGTGCGTTTAACACCGCTTTGCAGGACGGCAGGAATCAGTCCGTCCGTCTATCTACTTTGGGCATAGCTGCAGCCTCTGTCAGCTTGGTGTCTGACAAAGGGGGAAGGGAAACGTTTCTGGCCTTGTCTACACTAAATGGCCGATCTACTTCAGCTACACAAATCAACGTACTCACCGCGGCGTCTTATGTGCCTTAAGTAGGGTTACCAGGTAGACCTTGCAGGACGGCAGGAATCAGTCCGTCCGTCTATCTACTTTGGGCATAGCTGCAGCCTCTGTCAGCTTGGTGTCTGACAAAGGGGGAAGGGAAACGTTTCTGGCCTTGTCTACACTAAATGGCCGATCTACTTCAGCTACACAAATCAACGTACTCACCGCGGCGTCTTATGTGCCTTAAGTAGGGTTACCAGGTAGACCCCTCCAAAAAACTGGACACACGGGAGGGGGGCGGGGAGGGAAGGAGAGCTGGCGGGGGGGGTCCGGGG